CAAGGCTTCGTCCACCGGCTCCAGTCAAACGCCGTTTGGGAATTTGTTCAACTTTGTTCAACAATCGCTCCACCAAGAGGCCGGGGGGGGGGGGAGTGGTTGTGGTGGTGGGGGGGCAACCTTCACTTTGCATTACGCACACTTTTGGCTCGGCTGCGTTGACTTGCGTGTCATAGTGAAATGAAAAGCAAATAAAAAACCCAAAACGCTACAAGCACCACACTGCTCCGCTGGCGGACGGACAGAAGTTTACCAGCGAGGAGTGCAAACGATGCACGCCAACTCCTCGAGGCTTTGCAATATGCCTTGGCGAAAGTCTGAGCGCTCCATCCTTGGTACATAATTGAAGAGCGTGTCGGTTGAGACGGACGGAACGGAGTCATTTAGCAGCGAAGATCAATTGGAAATCTACAGGGCTGTGTCCCATATATCATTGCTTTTGTTGGGGAGCGGGGAATGTTTTTTTTTCTTCTATGAAAAGCCCACAAGGATGATGGACTCAGCGTTAACCGTTTGATTTCCCGCAGCCTCATGGCGTTGTGTAGAGTTGTGAAAGTGCGACCCTGCGATTGTTGCTTGCTCCTCCCGCAACTGCTGGCAGCAGGGATTCCATGACTAGAGGGAGCTCCCGAGAGAGAGCGCCTTCTCGAATTGTGTTTGGCCTACTCTTCCACGCTGGGCCAAGACGTTTTTGAAGATGCGGGGATAACAACATTTTATCCCCCCCCCCCCCCACCATCTCACGTGACCCGCCACCGATCGACCGAACAACCTTGGGGGCTCCACCAAATTTATCCGGAACAAAGACGAACAAACAAACACACATCTGGCATAACACAGGTTTGTTTTGGGTTAGATCGTGTAAATATATATATAAAAGTCGTTAAACCCGCCACCAGCCGACACAGCCAACTAGTAAGGTTTGTCACGTAAACAGAACGTGCCAATTCGTTACTAGTACAGCAACACCGGTGCGTTGGAGAGCAAATGTAAAACAACCAGTTACAATCTGGGTACGGCGTTTCGCCAGTAATTACAACCGGCATCATCAGGCGGCAGCCAGATCTCTTTGTTTACACACAGTATCTGGTCGGGTGATGCCGTGGCAAAAGTGTTTGACTCATGCTTACAGGTTTCCCCCGCTTCATGCGGTAGCAGTGTCGTGGGACCGCACACTAACCCGACCCACAATACACCGCACGAGGAGACAGCTGCCTGCCGAGTAGACGCACACAAAGATCCCCCGTATCGCCTTAACAGACTGTTGGGGCAAGCGCATTTAGCGAGCACTTATTAAGGCCGGCACGGCATACGAGGGGGTGGGTGGCCAGCACCACCACGCCCGGCCGCCTTAGTCTCCCGAGTGGCGATGTTTACACACCGCACCAGGTACTTATTTGAGGATGAGTCAACCTAGGGGAGGCCCAGGATTGGTTCAAATAATTGTCACTGGTGTTGGCCGTGAGCGGGAATCGAACACGGGTCTCCAGGTTTGTAGCGCAGTGCGCTAACCGCTACACTCCTGCTCCCCACAGTACACACACAATGTTAAACAAAAAGTAAATTATATTATTTGTACCAGGTGGAGCCCACTGAGCTATTAGCTCTATTTCAGAAGCGACCTGGCCATGAATGACGGAGTGGATTATCATGTTGACATTGATAACAGTATGCAAACATTCGAAACGCGTGATGTTGATTCTAAATGTGGAGGAGAAAAACCGGAGGACCCGGAGAAAAATCCACGTGACCACGGGGAAAACACGCAAACTCCAAGCGTACAGGCGTCAGGGTCGGGATCGAACCCACGACCTCCTGCATGCCAGGCGAGGGAGTCAACATCTCCTCGCCACCGTGGAGCCTTGCTTGTTGTCCCCACGGCTGACCGCACAGCCGCGTGTAGAGTGAATTAACGCCGGCCACGAGGAATTTTGCGTACAAACAGGTGTGCCGCGTGTGCGTTAATTCGCACAAACCGAACGCGCACAAAGCGTGGGACGACCTGCACGGTGATTTGGAAAGTCAACGGGTCAACATAGCCCATCATCCCTCCGGAGTGGATAAAACTAATTTACGACTTCATCGGCAGGGCCAGGTGAGGAGGGGTCGATGCAGGCAGGAGCCATCGGCTGACGGGAGATGTTCATTAATGTAATGTTTACCTCGATGAACAATCCTGTTGCACGACGTTTCGCTGGTAATTACATCCAGCATCATCGGGCAATTCGCCAGAATGGTGAATTGCCCGATTAATAATATTAGCCTACGTGTTAAACTGTACCCTGTTGTCTTAATTAAAGGGGGTTGGGAGATGGGGCAGAGGGTCCGTTCCCCATCTTTCCAATCCCTTGCTTGTCATAGCCGGTATCAGTTCATGTCGACGGTGAATGTACGTGAAGTAACGGTGTGCGTACGTGAAGTAACGGTGTGCGTACGTGAAGTAACGGCGTGCGTACGTGAAGTAACGGTGTGCGTACGTGAAGTAACGGTGTGTGTACGTGAAGTAACGGTGTGCGTACGTGAAGTAACGGTGTGCGTACGTGAAGTAACGGTGTGCGTACGTGAAGTAACGGTGTGCGTACGTGAAGTAACGGTGTGTGTACGTGAAGTAACGGTGTGTGTAGTGAAGTAACGGTGTGTGTACGTGAAGTAACGGTGTGCGTACGTGAAGTAACGGTGTGCGTACGTGAAGTAACGGTGTGTGTACGTGAAGTAACGGTGTGCGTACGTGAAGTAACGGTGTGCGTACGTGAAGTAACGGTGTGTGTACGTGAAGTAACGGTGTGTGTACGTGAAGTAACGGTGTGCGTACGTGAAGTAACGGTGTGTGTACGTGAAGTAACGGTGTGTGTACGTGAAGTAACGGTGTGTGTACGTGAAGTAACGGTGTGCGTACGTGAAGTAACGGCGTGCGTACGTGAAGTAACGGTGTGTGTACGTGAAGTAACGGTGTGTGTACGTGAAGTAACGGTGTGTGTACGTGAAGAAACGGTGTGTGTACGTGAAGTAACGGTGTGTGTACGTGAAGTAACGGCGTGCGTACGTGAAGTAACGGTGTGTGTACGTGAAGTAACGGTGTGTGTACGTGAAGTAACGGTGTGCGTACGTGAAGTAACGGTGTGCGTACGTGAAGTAACGGTGTGTGTACGTGAAGTAACGGTGTATGTACGTGAAGTAACGGTGTGCGTACGTAAAGTAACGGTGTGCGTACGTGAAGTAACGGTGTGTGTACGTGAAGTAACGGTGTGTGTACGTGAAGTAACGGTGTGCGTACGTGAAGTAATGGTGTGCGTACGTGAAGTAACGGTGTGTGTACGTGAAGTAACGGTGTATGTACGTGAAGTAACGGTGTGCGTACGTGAAGTAACGGCGTGCGTACGTGAAGTAACGGTGTGCGTACGTGAAGTAACGGTGTGTGTACGTGAAGTAACGGTGTATGTACGTGAAGTAACGGCGTGCGTACGTGAAGTAACGGTGTGCGTACGTGAAGTAACGGTGTGTGTACGTGAAGTAACGGTGTGCGTACGTGAAGTAACGGCGTGCGTACGTGAAGTAACGGTGTGTGTACGTGAAGTAACGGTGTGCGTACGTGAAGTAACGGTGTGCGTACGTGAAGTAACGGTGTGCGTACGTGAAGTAACGGTGAATGTACGTGAAGTAACGGCGTGCGTACGTGAAGTAACGGCGTGCGTACGTGAAGTAACGGTGTGTGTACGTGAAGTAACGGTGTGCGTACGTGAAGTAACGGCGTGCGTACGTGAAGTAACGGTGAATGTACGTGAAGTAACGGTGTGTGTACGTGAAGTAACGGTGTGTGTACGTGAAGTAACGGTGTGCGTACGTGAAGTAACGGCGTGCGTACGTGAAGTAACGGTGAATGTACGTGAAGTAACGGCGTGCGTACGTGAAGTAACGGCGTGCGTACGTGAAGTAACGGTGTGCGTACGTGAAGTAACGGTGTGCGTACGTGAAGTAACGGCGTGCGTACGTGAAGTAACGGTGTGCGTACGTGAAGTAACGGTGAATGTACGTGAAGTAACGGTGAATGTACGTGAAGTAACGGCGTGCGTACGTGAAGTAACGGCGTGCGTACGTGAAGTAACGGTGTGCGTACGTGAAGTAACGGTGTGCGTACGTGAAGTAACGGTGTGTGTACGTGAAGTAACGGTGTGTGTACGTGAAGTAACGGTGTGTGTACGTGAAGTAACGGTGTGCGTACGTGAAGTAACGGTGTGTGTACGTGAAGTAACGGCGTGCGTACGTAAAGTAACGGGCCCCCGCGCATTGCCTCTCAATAAGTACAAAAATTTAAATAAAAGTTGGTTGGGTGGGTGGAGGTGGGCGTAGGTGTGCGGAGGAGGGTGGACGTGGGTGGAGGTGGGTGGAGGTGTGCGGAGGAGGGTGGACGTGGGTGGAGGTGGGTGGAGGTGTGCGGAGGAGGGTGGACGTGGGTGGAGGTGGGTGGAGGTGGGCGGAGGTGGGTGGAGGTGCGTGGACGTGGGTGGAGGTGGGTGGAGGAGGGTGGACGTGGGTGAAGGTGTGCGGAGGAGGGTGGACGTGGGTGGAGATGGGTGGAGGTGCGTGGACGTGGGTGGAGGTGGGTGGAGGAGGGTGGAGGTGGGCGGAGGCGTGCGGAGGAGGGTGGACGTGGGTGGAGATGGGTGGAGGTGCGTGGACGTGGGTGGAGGTGTGCGGAGGAGGGTGGACGTGGGCGGAGGTGGGCGGAGGTGGGCGGAGGCGTGCGGAGGAGGGTGGACGTGGGTGGAGATGGGTGGAGGTGCGTGGACGTGGGTGGAGGTGTGCGGAGGAGGGTGGAGGTGCGTTGACGTGTGCGGAGGTGTGCGTAGGTGTGTGGAGGTGGGTGGAGGTGGGTGGACGTGGGTGGAGACGCGTGGACGTGAGCGGAGGTGTGCGGAGGAGGGTGGAGGTGCGTTGACGTGTGCGGAGGTGTGTGGAGGTATGCGGAGGTGTACGGAGGGGTGTGCGTCGCGCGAACTCACGCGACGGGTAGTGCTCGTTGGGCGTGTAGTGGTCGAGCTGCAGGGTGGCGTTGGCGCCGCTGCGCATGAACTTCACCAAGTGGTAGCGCCCGTCGTTGACCGGCGCGCGCTCTTCCCGCAGCACCACGTCGCCCGTGCCCACGTTGAAGATCACAGCGATCCGCCCGTCCTCCTGCACGCGAGGCGAGCGTGGGTGGTAGGGCGCAGGGCGAGGGGGGGGGCAATGGACATCGGTTAAAAAGAGCTTCATAGCTCATCGGATTCCTCCAGTATACATAGATGTTCCGATTAGTCAGCGATGTCGTTGGCATCATCATCATCGTCGTCGTCGCGATCCATGGACAGATAGCCCGTAAGTTGTCACTGCACATTTTGTCATTTATTTTTCTACTTCCCTCTGTCTTGTGCCGGCATGCTCAAGTAGCGGCCACGTTTTCCTGCCACTGATCTCTTGTGATGTCGTCAATGGCTCGGCCACATCGGCCACCGTCATCAACATCGTCGTCATCGCCGTCGTAGTCATTCTCACCACGCAGTGGCGTCCCTAAACAAGGACCACATTGCAGACCTCACGAAGGTAACAGCCCTGGTCTCTCCTTCGTGTCTCTATGGTGTCTTTCTGCTACCTCGTCAATGGTGAGGACCGCTCTCAAACCACGACAACAGGAGCAGCAGCAGCATCATCAACAATAGCAGCAGCAGCATCAACAACAACAACAGCAGCAGCATCAACAACACCACACGGTAAAAGAAGGTGTGGGGATATTCCCACCAGAAATGTAACGATCATCAGGGACTCCACCAGACAGCAAATGCGGTGATTGCAGCCCCCCCCCCCCCCCCGAAAATCAGGAACACCTTGTCTGCCTGTCGCCGGACTCAAGACTCGCCTTCCCATAAAATACATAAAAAAAGAAAAACTGTCTCTTGACTTTTAATTTATTTTCACCTCCGACTTAACTCTCTTACGCGATTCGTTTCGCGCGCGGGGCGCATTTTTTTTTGCGCGCGTTTGCAATTTTACTTCTGCTCGGTCAATGTTCGCCTCTGAGGGCGCGTGACGGGTTTGTTTCGTCTCATTCCTGTCTTTCCGTACGCAGCCCATAATCCTCTCCCACCCCCCCCCCCCGGCGTAGCGTCCCCGTTCCGTTACGATGCACACCCGTGCACTACTTTATTGATGGAGATATTGGCACTTGAAAAAAAGGGAATATTGATCGATTGATTGACGTGCAAATCATCAGGCGCGCATCAACGATGCCAGCCCCGATACATCACGCGTGCTCCGATGGAACAGGTGGAATCCACTCAGCTACCACCGTGGGCGCCATGGAATGGTTGACGACAAAAATAAATATAGAATTCGTGCATGTTGCTTTTTTTTAAACGCCATACGAAAGAAGAAGATAATCATCACCATTATCACCGTGATCGTGATGACACCATCATCCTTCTCATTGAGTGTTCTCAAGGAGAAGATGTTTGGGTCGATTCTTCCCATAACTAATTCTCTATCATCGTGCCACCGTTTTAAGTTTTCCATTATTATCATCATCATCACTGTTGTCATCAGCATCATTATCATCATCGACATCACCATAATCAGAACTCTCATCATTAACATCATAATCATCATCATTGCCATCGTTATCTGAATCTGCTCTATATAAGAACTGGAGACACAGCAGAGCCTCACCATTCTGGCGAATTGCCCGATGATGCTGGATGCAATTACCAGCGAAACGTCGTACTCAAATTGTTAATGTTGTGGCTTCAACACACTGGTAGGCTAAAGCAGTGAACTATTTGTCTTTTGTCAACGTGACACTTTTTATTGATTGGCCGTGTCGGGTGGTGGAGGGTTACGACATATTTATAAATAACGCGATCTAAACCCAAAAACGTTGATTATGTTCTACAAGATATATTTACGATCTCTCACCTAGGCCAAAGACTCTCTGCAAGAGCCCCATAAAGCTCCCTTTAGTGGAGGCCCTTCTGCCAGCAGTGCGGCGAGCGAATAATTGCAGGGCTGAACCTTTTACAAACTGCCCTTCCAACTAAACTCGCCGAGCAGACGCGTGAACGAACGCCCGACCAGCGGCACCGCAGACAATCAAACCGAGCTCGAGGTGAGCATCACGGTAGCGATGCGGTCGTGATGAATCACGGCCGCGAGCTCACCTCGAGCCAACGGACGCCCACATGTCCCCACGCCCGTGCGACTGATAAGCGAGGAAGGCTGCGGATTAAACCCCACGGGGGGGGGGGGGGGGGTCACTGCCGAGTTCACGCCGGTGACCTGAACGCCTCCGCTCCCTATCCCCCCACCGCCACCCACCCACGCCTACAGCCCCCCCCCCCCGCCCTGCCCTGTCAACCACCGCAACATCGCAGGGCGCTCCTCCGGCCACAAATCACGTGGGCTATTTCTGGGGTTTAATCACGGGGCATCTCCATTAACGTAGCACAAACTCGCACCGCCCCCCCCCCACACACACATCCATCCACCCACCACCCCACTGGGCTGCCCCCTCCCACAGCCATCACCGCCCCCACCCACCCCGCCCCCCCCCCCCCAGTATTTCCATTTTCATGCAATTGTAATGTTATTCATTCAAAAGGATAATTGAAAAGTACTATGCTTGGTGAAATGGGGTGCGTTTGTATCTGTGTCTCTCTTCCGTCGCTATCTCTTTTCATGCAGCCAGGCCACCCCCCGCCTCCACCACCACCACCACCCCCACCACCACCACCACCACCACCCCCACCACCGCCACCGCCTCCACCACCACCACCACCACCACCACCACCACCCCCACCACCACCACCACCGCCACCGCCACCGCCACCACCACCGCCACCGCCACCGCCGCCGCCGCCGCCGCCGCCGCGCCGCCGCCGCCGCCGCCGCCGCCGCCGCCGCCGCCGCCGCCGCCGCCGCCGCCGCCGCCGCCGCCGCCGCCGCCGCCGCCGCCGCCGCCGCCGCCGCCGCCGCCGCCGCCGCCGCCGCCGCCGCCGCCGCCGCCGCCGCCGCCGCCGCCGCGCCGCCGCCGCCGCCGCCGCCGCCGCCGCCGCCGCCGCCGCCGCCGCCGCCGCCGCCGCCGCCGCCGCCGCCGCCGCCGCCGCCGCCGCCGCCGCCGCCGCCGCCGCCGCCGCCGCCGCCGCCGCCGCCGCCGCCGCCGCCGCCGCCGCCGCCGCCGCCGCCGCCGCCGCCGCCGCCGCCGCCGCCGCCGCCGCCGCCGCCGCCGCCGCCGCCGCCGCCGCCGCCGCCGCCGCCGCCGCCGCCGCCGCCGCCGCCGCCGCCGCCGCCGCCGCCGCCGCCGCCGCCGCCGCCGCCGCCGCCGCCGCCGCCGCCGCCGCCGCCGCCGCCGCCGCCGCCGCCGCCGCCGCCGCCGCCGCCGCCGCCGCCGCCGCCGCCGCCGCCGCCGCCGCCGCCGCCGCCGCCGCCGCCGCCGCCGCCGCCGCCGCCGCCGCCACCGCCACCGCCACCGCCACCGCCACCGCCACCGCCACCGCCACCGCCACCGCCACCGCCACCCACCACCACCACCGCTCCAAGCAGCAATGATGAGGCGTGGATACAAATGCTGCCACATCGTTCGGGGCACGTGCGCGGGGACATTGCGCTGTGCGTGCGTGTGCGTTGAACTTCTTTCGCACCGTACGTAGCCAGCCGCGATAATCGGAGGTGCAGTGTTGAGTCTATGGGCAGTGTTGAGTCTATGGGCAGTGTTGAGTCTATGGGTAGTGCTGAGTCTATGGGTAGTGTTGAGTCTATGGGTAGTGTTGAGTCTATGGGCAGTGCTGAGTCTATGGGTAGTGTTGAGTCTATGGGTAGTGTTGAGTCTATGGGTAGTGTTGAGTCTGTGGGCAGTGTTGAGTCTATGGGCAGTGCTGAGTCTATGGGTAGTGTTGAGTCTATGGGTAGTGTTGAGTCTATGGGTAGTGTTTAGTCTATGTGCAGTGTTAGTTTATGGGTAGTGTTAGTCAATGGGTAGTGTTGAGTCTATGGGTAGTGTTGAGTCTATGGGCAGTGTTAGTCTATGGGTAGTGTTAATCTATGTGCAGTGTTAATCTATGTGCAGTGTTGAGTCTATGGGCAGTGTTAGTCTATGTGCAGTGTTAGTCGATGGGTAGTGTTAATCTATGGGTAGTGTTAGTCTATGGGTAGTGTTGAGTATATGGGCAGTGTTGAGCCTATGGGCAGTGTTAGTCTATGGGCAGTGTTGAGTCTATGGGTAGTGTTAGTCTATGGGTAGTGTTAGTCTATGGGTAGTGTTAGTCAATGGGTAGTGTTAGTCTATGGGTAGTACGTATGCTGAATTTCATTCGCACCGTACGTAGCCAGCCGCGATAAAACGGGAGAAGTACAGCAAGCTAGACGACACGAAAAGCAGTTCAAAAGAAATGCGTTTTCAAACTAGACGCATTAAAAAGTTTGCTCAGCTCCAGAGCGTTCCAGACGGCCCACAGAAGCGTATCCCAGAGTGCGCGACGCGGTGGCCGCTATCGCTGTCCGATGGCTTAGCCAAAAGCAAACAGTGCCACCTTACATCACGTGCGCTTGCGTGCGCGCGTGCGTTCACACGCACGAAGATGCAGGTCGCCGTGTAGCTTCGAGCCGACCGTTGCGGGCCAAGTGCTGCGAACGAGAGGTGCTCATTGAACACTGAGACTACCTCGGGGACAAGAGACAGAGGACTGAACCGGTTCAGATATAACTCGCCACTAAGAGGCCGTCCATAAATGACGTCGCGCGATTTTGGACGATTTTTGACTTTTCCCCCTCCCCCTCTCGTCACACGGCGTCACAAAAAGTCAGACCCCCCCCCCCTCAAATATGACGTCACAAAGCTCTGCTCCGCCCCCCCCCAAATAAAACATGCTTCAAATCGCTTTAAATTATTGTCATTGCAGTGCGTATTTAATGTGGCGCTGCACTCTGATGTTGTAGGAGAAAACATTTATTAAAAAGTCTATTTCATTAAGAGTAGAACGTGTTGTCTATATTTTTTTAAAGTTGCGCATGTTGATGTGACGTCACATTTCTCAACCCCCCCCCCCTCGTCACACATCGTCACAAATGTCTAACCCCCCCCCCCCTAGGTGCGTGACGTCATTTATGAACGGCCCTTAACTCTTGGCCAAGAATCATACTCAGGTTTTTCT